GGGATAAAACACCACCAGTTCCCGACTCCAGCATTCTACTGAGAATAAACTGACAGAAAAACCCACTAACTGATTTTTGGCCTGACCCGGGATTCAGACCCGGAACTTCATGATCAACATGTGTTGATATCTCGCCGTTATGATAAAGTTGTGACAGTAAAAGGCCTACAATATTGCACTCAACAGAAGCAGGCGTTACTTTACCCATCTTTGTAATAAACCAATGTTCATCAGTGAATTTTAATAATTATATTAACAAACCCAATTGTCAACACAGTAATTTAAAATAACCCGACTGCATAAAAAGTTTACTGAAAATATGTTATTATAGCCTATGTCAATTCAACAACTTAGACAAATTGAACAATATTACCCTCCATTTAGGGCAGTTGGGTAAAGAGTTGATAATGATAAGTGATAATGAATTATTTTATTGTTAAATATAGAAAATTTATTAAGCTATGATCCGCAGAAATATTGTGTGCTAATGAACAACATTTAGATTTAATTTTTATTCATTGCTGGGTCTATATCTCGTGATAAGCGTGTAGAGGCGAAATCTGAGCGCCGTGTTATCGATAGTGGCGTGTGTTCCTAGTTTAGAGGTTAAAGTGGTGATGGAGATATTTGTATGGATAAGTCGTGGTGATGAAACAATAATATGCAAAAATCTTCTATAAGAGTGAACTCGTGCAGTAATCTCTTTTGTCGTAAGAGGCGACAGAGAGAAACGAAACAGGGGATAAGCTGAAGAATTAGATAAAACTTAGTAAAATAAAAAATTGCGGTTGCCAAACTTCATATCATGCGTGGCTACTACGTGTATGGCAGATATCCCTCTATGAGGCAATCTACGGGGTGACCTACGATCAAAAGAGGATTTTTATTTGGCTATAATGGATGGATGCAATAAATGGATAAGAGGTAAAGCAGTACCTACGCTTTGAATTATGAAATACATCCTTGTTTAATTTTGCACGGGGATCTTTTCTAAAAAATGTTTCACCTTTGTGATTATTTAACATGTCAGTTTATTTGAAGTGTGTTACGGGTTCAATTTATTACACAACTTAACCGGGAGTCTTGCAGCACGTCACATTAGTGACGTTTTCTACTCACTATCACTTCTAGCGGTGAAGCTTGGCATATTATGATCGTGACTGCGCATATATGTATATGCAAGTACATATACGTACACATGCACGTATATGCAATCTATTTTAATAAAGTTGTAGCCATGACGTTTGTGTTTAAACACTTAGATTTAGCAACATGTCTCTTTATCGACATCATTACATTAACAGACTCTAGCCAGGTACTCGTAATGGATAATTAAATGGAAATCAGAAGTAGTTGTGCTGTCGAGGATTATTAATAATTAACGTTATCATGCCTGCTTCGTTAGTATTTTTAGAATATTATAATGTATCAATTGCATATACTAATGTATCAATTACCCTTGTGTATCAAAAATAAACATTGATTTCTAAAAATTTCTTATATTTGATGACATTATATTGACTAAAACTTTGTCTAATTTTGTCACTAGCACATATGTATATATATTTCGTGAGCCTTATAGCAACCATGGTCATGAGGGTACTGGGGTATATGACGTCACTACGTCCTTAAATGAAACAAATATTACGGATTTTATGACGTTTAATTTTAAATATTTAATTCCCGACGTTTTGGGTGCTTAACAATACCCATGAAAGATAGATACATAGATAGGTAGATCGGACCAAAAATTCATATTCAAAAACTGAAGATTGGCGGGCTTATTATGATATCGGGACGTCGAACATTTCAGTCCCCCTCGTGACCATGGGTGCTGTAAAGCATTCGAAACGTCGGAAAATAAAAAGTTAACACGTTCACTGTCCGGTTTTCAGACACAATAGACAATAGCAATGACCTATATGTAGTGCACGCGACAGCGAAAGGGTTAAATTGGACATGATAAAATCGTAAAATTTATTAAATCCTTTTAATTTTGTTTATCATCATCATCATCATCATCATTACAGCCCTTCAAATGTCCACTGCTGAACACAGGCCTCCCCCAAAGAATGCCACCAAACACAGACCTGAGCTACCAGCATCTATCGAATTCCTGCATTTCTTACCAGGTCGTCACTCCATCTAGTGGGGGGACGCCATACACTTCGTCCGATGGTACGAGGCTGCCACTCTAGAATCTTTTTTCCCCATCGATTGTCGGTTTAGTGAGCAGTAGTAAAAGACCACGTCTCAGTTCCATAAGTCATCACTGGCAACACGCACTGGTTGTACAGTCTCGTTTTTAAGTTTTGAGTTATACTTGACGAGAAGATGTGCCGAAATTTCCCAAACACTACCCAACCGAATTGAATCCGTCGATTGACCCCTCGGTTGAAGTTGGACTTACCTAGTCGGACTATTTGTCCCAGGTAAAGATACTCCTCATCTACTTTGAGCTGAGTGCTCCCAACAACTACCGGCATAGGTGTGACATGGACATTAAACATGATCTTTGTTTTGTCCATGTTCATCTTAAGACCTATCCGTTGGGAAGCACTAATGAGGTCATTGAGCATAGTGCTTAGGTCCTCCAGCGATTCTGCCATAAGGACTATATCGTCGGCAAATCGAAGGTATGTGATGTACTCGCCATTGATGTTGATACCGTATCATTTCCAGTTCAGAATCTTGAAAACGTCTTCCAATGCAGCGGTGAAGAGTTTCGGGGATATGACGTCACCCTGTCTTACACCTGTCTGCAATTGGATAGGTTTCGTACTCTGGTTCTGTACTCGGATAGCCATCGTAGCCCTACTGTACAAGCACTTCATCACTTCGATATACCGCCAGTCAACTTGGCACCGCTGAAGGGACTGCAGCACCGCCCAAATTTCGACGGAATCAAAGGCTTTCTCATAGTCCACATACGCAAGGCAAAGTGGCAGATTGTACTCTTCTGTCTTCTGTACAATTTGCCGAAGGGTGTGTAAGTGGTCTATGTAATGTGGTACTAAAGCCTTTTCGGAAACCGGTTTGTTCGGGAGGCTGGAAGTCCTCGAGTCTGCTTACGAGACGATTCGTAATAACTCTCGAAAACAGCACGTAGACGCGGCTCAGGAGGGAAATCGGTCTGTAGTTCTTCAACAGAGCGTTATCGCTTTTCTTGATATACAAGACCATGGCAGTTCTGCTCCACGCCTCTGGAGTAGTACTACCATGAAGGACGGAATTAAAGAGCCTCTGAAGGACTTCAAGTACCGTTTTTCCACCCGTTTTCAGAAGCTCTGCTGTAATTCCATCCTCACCGGGGGACTTGCCGTTTTTAAGGTGCTGGAGATCTATTCTAATCTCGTTCAGACTGACGTCCGGAATATCTTCGGAATAGTGTCGGATAAGACTCTCTCTTGGATCGTTACTCACACTTGCGTGTGGCTCCAACGATGACGTGTACAGCTGCCCATAGAACCTCTCAATTTCACTCAAAATCTCAGTTGTCCCGGAAACGATGCTGCCACATTCGGTTTTCAGCTTTCACAGTAGGCTCCTTCTGGCAGACAGATCTCTGGCAAAGACTTTGGAGCTTGGTTCCGCTCGATCACTTCTTCAATTCAATCTATCTGTTCAGTTGCCTGTATGCTTTCAAATCTATTGAAGATTGTAGCTTCATCTCCCGTCTAATGGCCATGATATTAAGAGTGTGATCGGAGAGTTTTTGTATTCTTCTGCGGCGGGCCTTGCAGAACGTAGCTCCGACCGCATGGACAGTTTCCACGAGCTTATTGTCCACATCATTGCAGTCTTCTAGGCACTGAAAACGATTTTGAAACTCGTGCTGAAAGGTTTCGGGACTTTGGAATAGAGCACGAGGGGGACGGAGCGTTGACTTCATTAAACGTGACCTATTCAACGTAACGTTGAGGTTCAGTATGCCTCTAACCATTCGTTGATCGCTACGATTTTTCACCCTTGCGATCACTGAGATATCACTAAACAGTTGTCGTCTGGTCGTCGTTATGAAGTTAATCTCATTTTTAGTCGAACCGTCGGGGCTCGACCAGGTCCTTTTCCTGTGGGACCGCTTCTGGAAGAAAGATTTCATCATAAATATTCCCTCTTTCTCCATGAAGTCAGCCAGCTGCTGGCCCCTTGGGTTCCGTTGCGCTATTCCGAATTTCCCTACTTTCAGCTCACCGTTCTCTCTTGTGCCTAGTTTTGCATTAAAGTCTCCCATCAACACCGTATAGTGGGTTTTGGACGCAACAACCGTTGAACACAGACGCAAACAATAAACAACGCACGTTCTATAATTTGTCAAAAGAAACACTACACGAACCTACAATAAAAGTACTGTCGAAAGGCTTGAATTTTGCTATAACGCCGCAAAAAATCCCGTACGAGGAAATTATCTGTAGTGTTGAGGATTGTCTGTTTAAGAATAATATCGGTAAAGAGGATTTAGAGGCTATACGTCAAGACATTTCGTCTTTGTTACGTCGAAGTTCAGCGCCGAAACTAAATCTCCCCAAATACGAATTTAAAGCGTTGTACAACTTACGCAGCAGACCAGAGCTCACGATTCTCCGCGCGGATAAAGGAAATGCTACGGTAATAATGGACACGTCAGAGTATAATTTCAAAATACAACAACTTTTATCGGACGTAAGTACATACAAAAAGGTCAAAATAGACCCTACAACTAATACACTTAAAACAACTACCGATTTAATAAAGAAATACTCCGAAAATTAGATTTCGACGTGAATTTGACAATACCATCATGTGCCAAACCACCGAGGTTGTATGGGTTACCGAAAATACACAAACCAAACGCTCCACTACGTCCTATAGTAAGCCAGATCGATTCAACAACTTATAAGTTGGCTCAACACTTGGCTAAAATACTGTCACCACTAAGAGGACATACCAGAGCACACACAAAGGATTCATACCATTTTGTTAGTGAGATAAAAGACCTACATCTCGCTGACAATGAAACTATGGTCAGTTTTGATGTTCAGTCACTATTCACATGCCTACCTATTGAAGACTGCATCTCAATTGTTACTAGAAAGCTAGAAGATAACAACATGCCTACAGAATATGCAATATTACTCAAACACTGCCTCACATCTGGCTATTTATTGTGGAAAGAAGAGTTCTACATGCAAGTAGACGGAGTGGCAATGGGCTCACCTGTATCTCCCGTAGTCGCCGACATATTCATGGAGGACTTTGAGGAGAAGGCCCTTCTTACTGCTCCTGTAAATCCAAGATTCTACAAGCGGTACGTAGACGATACTTTCACAATTTTACCATCTGAGCATTTTTAAACCACCTTAATTCCATAAACCCTAAAATACAATTCACAATGGAGTTAGAGGCAAACAATACTTTAGCCTTCCTAGATGTTTTAGTCATCCGAAATCCTGATAACACTAGTGGTCATACTGTGTGCAGAAAAAATACCCATACCGACCGATATTTAAATGGTGAATCTCACCATCATCATTTACAGTTAGCTACTGTGGGAAAATCTTTGTTTCAGAGAGCACGAGGGTTCTGTGACAGAAAACATCTGGCCGCCGAGCTTCAGCACGTCGAGCAAGTACTGCAAGACAACAAGCTTCGGGTCCCGCGCCTACGTCACAGTGACCGAGTGAAGCCAGCCACAGTCGAGCGTGTGCCTGCTTTACTACCCTATGTCAGAGGAGTCACAGACAAGGTTGGCTACATCTTGAAGCGAGCTTCCATTAAAACATACTTCAAGCCGCTGAAGAAGATTGGTCAATTTTTACAAGATCCTCTACAAGATGCAGTAGTGTACAAGCTGGATTGTGAATGTGATCTCTCGTACATAGGACAAACAAAAAGATCTATAAAAATCCGCGTTAAAGAACATATAGCTGACGTGAAGCACCGACGTATCGGGAAGTCTGCAGTTTGTGAACATGTTCAAGATCGTCCCCGCCATTACATTAGATTTGATAGACCACAAATCCTCGCAAAAGAACACCTAATCCTCCCAAGGATGATTCGCGAGGCTATTGGAATTAAAAAACATCCTAATTTCAATAGAGAAGATGGATGGGTGCTGCCATCTGCTTGAGATCCCATAATTAATAAAATCAAATCCAAACCCAAGTATACCACTGCTAGACTTCAAGATACTGTAAGCTCATTCTGCGTAAATCGAACCAAAAAATAATATTAATAAACTGAAGGTAGCCGGGCTAACTATGACAGCAGGACGTCAAACACCTTAGTCCCCCGTGACCACGGGTGCTGGAAAGCACCCGAAACGTCGGGAATATGAAAATGAGTTAATATACGCGATAAAATCCGTAATATTAGTTTTATTTAAACAGCTAGATTAGTTTATTTCAGTTATTTCCATAGCATAATGATTTATGGGATTTTGCTATGGGGAAATGCGGCTGATTCTGAAACTATTTTTGTTTTACAGAAGAGGGCCATTAGAGCTATTTAGAACCTAAAACCAAGAGAGTCTCTTAGAGATAAATTTAAAGAAATAAATATATTAACTTTGGCCTCTCAGTATATTTACGAAAATTTAATGTATGTTCACAAAAACTAAGATAGCTTTAGTAAAAAAGTGATGTACATTCTCTAAACACTAGGAACAAATGCAAGCTAGTGATACCAATTTTTTGACTCCACAGAGTCAGTAATTCGTTCATGGGGCAATGTATACGCTATTACAACAGGGTCCGGGATAGTGTACAGGCTCTCTCTATTACCAAGTTTAAATATTTTGTTAAGTTGAAACTGTATAAAAAGGTTTATTATAGTATAAATTAATACATGTTTGATCATAACCCCTGGGAATGAGGTGGTCGTTTCCAAGCTGTTTCTAAAATAAATTATGTATCTACGAATCATTAATGTAAAATATCCTTTTAAAAAAAAGTCCCGCTGGGTTTCTTGCTGGTTTTTCCCAGAACAGAGTTTTTTTTTCGAACTTGTGGTAAAGTAAAAAATGACTTTCAATACATTACACATGTGATCTATATTGAATAAAAAAATATTCTATTCTATCCTATTCTATTCATCTAGCTGCTTTTTATGCTGGAAATCTTAAGTTTTCGAGATATCGATAATTATAGTTTTGAGGTTATATTCATTTAAAAATGATACGAAAATGAAATAACAATATAATTATTAGAGAGTCTGTCACTGTGGGGAGGTCAAGGGGGGTTATCTCAAGCGCCCCCCCCCCATGCAATTTTAGCTGCCGGAGCTGCGTCGAAATATTTAAAATTATTTTCTAAAAATATTCATAAATCACTAATTAATACCTGAAACTGAACTTTTGACATTGACAGTCACAAATCTACTCGACCAAAGAGAATATAATCACTACGTTTTACGTTTATTTTCGACTTCGCGACTCACGTCATAAGCGTCCTTCCGTTGCTTCCGAGTTTACGTGAATGTGCTCCTTATTGTTATTATCTGCCTCCTGTTTTTCGACGACTTCGTTACCCCTTTGGAGACCGATTGCTTGCTATTTTACTTTTTTGGAAATGGTGAAAGTAATAAAATATGTTTATTTATTAAAGTGCACAAACTTGCCGTGTAGTGGCGGTCAAGAATATCCACTACCCCATATCCTCCCGTGGGTGTCGTAAAAGGCGACAAAGGGCAACAGGCAGGAGATTGCAGCAGCATCTTCTTGATAACAACAAACTAACAATAAAAGAAAACTGCGGTTGCCAACCCGCTCGCCAAGCGTGGCAACTATGGCAAATACCCCCCTATGAATGACAGTAACAAAGAAACGGCCGCCAGTCCCCGGCGGCCCCGCTATTCCTGGCTACGGTGGCGACCATGGTAACGGCGGGGCAGGGGGTGCTAAGAATCTCCGGTGGAGGTTCGGTTGCCACCTTAGACGACTCGACCTGGCAACGTACAACGCACGCACCCTGAGGACTGACGAGAAGATCGTGGAGCTGGAAGAAGAGATAGACAAGTTGCGATGGCATATTATAGGATTATCCGAAGTCCGAAGAGAGGGGGAGGACACGGTAATCCTCGAATCCGGCAACTTGCTCTATCACCGGGAGGGCGACCATCTGTCCCAAGGAGGTGTCGGATTTATCGTCCACAAGTCTCTCGTTAACAACGTTGTAAAGATCGGGAGTGTGTCGACGAGGGTTGCGTACCTTATACTCAGAATCACCAAACGGTATTCGCTGAAGGTCATACAGGTTTACGCACCAAACTCGGCACGCCCCGATGAGGAGGTGGAGAAAATGTATGAGGATATCTCTAGAGCCATGCATTCCTCCAAAACCCAATATACGGTGTTAATGGGAGACTTTAATGCAAAACTAGGCACAAGAGAGAACGGTGAGCTGAAAGTTGGGAAATTTGGAATAGGGCAACGGCACCCAAGGGGCCAGCAGCTGGCCGACTTCATGGAGAAAGAGGGACTCTTTATGATGAACTCTTTCTTCCAGAAGCGGCCCCACAGGAAGTGGACCTGGTCGAGCCCCGACGGTTCGACAAAAAATTAGATTGACTTCATTATGACGACCAGACGACAACTGTTCAGTGATGTCTCCGTGATCGCGAGGGTGAAAACTGGTAGCGATCACCGAATGGTTAGAGGCATACTGAACCTAAACGCTAAGTTGGAGAGGTCTCGTCTAATGAAGTCAACGCTCCGTCCCCCTCTTGCTCTAATCCAAAGTCCCGAAACCTTTCAGCTCGAGTTACAAAACCGTTTTCAGTGCCTAGAAGACTGCAATGAAGTGGACGATATGAATGACAAGCTCGTGGAAACTGTCCATGCGGTCGGAGCTAAGTTCTGCAAGACCCGCCGCAGAAGAACACAAAAACTCTCCGATCACACTCTTAATCTCATGGCTGTTAGACGGGAGATGAAGCTACATTCTTCAACAGACTTGACAGCATACAGGCATCTGAACAGACAGATCTCCAAATGCATGCGGCGGGACTTACGCAACTTCAATACAGCTCGTATTGAAGAAGCGATCGAGCGGAACCAAGGCTCCAAAGTCTTTGCCAAAGATCTGTCTGCCAGAAAGAGCCAACTGTCAAAGCTGAAGACAGAATGTGGCAGCATCGTTTCCGGGACACCTGAGATTTTGAGTGAGATTGAGAGGTTCTAAGGGCAGTTGTACACGTCATCGTTGGAGCCACAGGCAAGTGTGAGTAACGATCCAAGAGCGAGTCTCATCCGACACTATTCCAAAGATATCCCGGACGTCAGTCTGAGCGAGATTAGAATGGCTCTCCAGCACCTTAAAAACAGTAAGGCTCCAGGCGAGGATGGAATTACAGCGGAGCTTCTGAAAGCGGGTGGAAAACCGGTACTTGAAGTCCTTCAGAAGCTCTTTAATTCCGTCCTCCATGGTGGCATTACACCGGAGGCGTGGAGCAGAAGTGCGGTGGTCTTGTTCTTCAAGAAAGGTGACAACGCTCTCTTGAAGAACTACAGACCGATTTCCCTTCTGAGCCGCGTCTACGTGCTGTTTTCGAGAGTCATTACGAATCATCTCGTGCGCAGACTTGACGACTTCCAGCCTCCCGAACAAGCCGGTTTCCGAAAGGGCTTTAGCACCATAGTTCACATACATACCCTTCGGCAAATTGTACAGAAGTCCGAAGAGTACAATTTGCAACTATGTCTGGCGTATGTGGACTATGAGAAAGCCTTTGATTCCGTCGAAATTTGGGCGGTGCTGCAGTCCCTTCAGCGGTGCCAAGTTGACTGTCGGTATATCGAAGTGTTGAAGTGCTTGTACAGTAGGGCTACGATGGCTATCCGAGTACAGAACCAGAGCACGAAACCTATCCAATTGCAGAGAGGTGTAAGACAGGGTGACGTCATATCCCCGAAACTCTTCACCGCTGCATTGGAAGACGTTTTCAAGCTTCTGGACTGGAAAGGATACGGTATCAACATCAATGGCGAGTACATCACTCACCTTCGATTTGCCGGCGATATAGTCCTTATGGCAGAATCGCTGGAGGACCTAAGCACTATGCTGAATGACCTCAATAGTGTTTCCCTACGGATAGGTCTTAAGATGAACATGGACAAAACTAAGATCATGAATTAATTAATGTCCATGTCACACCTATGCCGGTATTTGTTGGGTACACTAAGCTCGAAGTTGTTGACGAGTATGTTTACCTGGGATAAATAGTCCGACTAGGTAAGTCCAACTTCGACCGAGAGGTCAATCGACGGATTCAACTCGGTTGGGCAGCGTTCGGGAAATTACGGCACATCTTCTCGTCAGGTATACCTCAAACCTTGAAAACGAGACTGTACACCCAG